TTCAACAATCTTCAGCTCCTGCCTGGGAGGCTAAGTTGGGCTACAAGACCTTGTTGTGATGCCTTTCATTTATTGAGTGTCCTCTATCAAGGTTCAGTAAAACTGTGCATATGAAAATAACATAGGATCACTGAGCTGAACTGAGGCATTACCAGTATTAACAGTGACAAAGTGAGGCTTCTTGATGCATTTGCCTGATATGTGGCTTAGTATTATTGGCACAGGCCCATGGAACAAGACACATACTTTCTCAAGACCCCACCATAGTGGAGAGACACTGTCTTTATAGATTCTCACAGCTCATTGAGGTCCTAGAACTCCCATTTATTGAAAAGTATACACACACACACATACACATACAGAATTTCCTGTGTATGTGTATCCCTCTAGGAACAAACCTAATTTCACGTTATAGACCAATTTAAACATCAGCAAGACATTTAATTGAGATTATTTTAAGCTAAGGCCTTATTAGAGTCATACAGTCATATCAGATTCTATTCAGATCGGTTTACTAGATAAAACATAGCTACATGTTAACAACTACATGAAAAAAGATGGCCAACTTGTTCTAAGTAAACCTTACAGTATCACAGATGACCCGCGTATCCTCAAAAGAACTCACTGGCTAAGGTTCAAGGGTAGAAAGGACAATAAGGTGACCACAGGGTGCATTTCACTTTTAGTCACTCCTAAAAAGTGAGGATTAGGGGGAACAGAATAAGACAAAATATGAAGGAGAAAAGAATACCATGCAAAATTTTAACAACGCAGACCTAAAGTACACATTCATTTCAATTTTTCCCACTTGTGTGTGTGTGCTTGTGTGTGTGCATGTGTGTATGACTAATACTATTTGAGAAGTATTTAAATAAAATCATCAATAAGAAAAATATCATTAAATAGTGTCAAATTCTTTGTTAAAATAAATATTAGTTGATAAAGATTTTCAATCTGCCTTCTTTCCAAGTCCTTAAAAAATTATGTGGCATTTGGTACATAAAACACCATAATGTTCTATTAAAAATGATGCTGAAACTACCTATATCCTCTTTCCCTTTGACCACCTTTTTCTTTAACCACCTATTTTAAAATTTCCCATTATCTTCCTTGTTATGAGTGAACATTACAGCAACCTTTCCTTACCCTCATCGGTGATATTTTTGTTGAGTTAAATTAAAAAAATACATTATTGGCCCTCCCTGGTGGCGCAGCGGGTTAAAGCACAGCACTGAGAATCTAAAGCCGCTTCCGCATGAGTTCGATTCCCGCCTGCCCGGGAGGTGACCACATGGCGTGGCAGACCTCTTCTGACCCGCCCGCTGCTCCCCTCAGCAGTGTGCTTCGTAGATCTGCCTGTTCTGCTCCCCGCTCTGTCTCTGGTGAAGCCTCTCACCGCCCCTGAGCATCTGGCCTGTACCCCAGTTCTGTATGCACAAATAAATATTTTTTTTAAAAAAATACATTATTAAGAACATCTTATAATGAGAATTATTAGGAGGACTAGAAAAGGAACTGTACTCTATGCTTCCTCACAATGATCAGCATGTGGGCAATCCTGTTTTATCTGTATCCAGGTCTCACCCCCTACCCCATCTTCCCACAATGCATTATTCTAAAGCAAATTTCAGGTACTGTTAACAAAGTTTGTTGTTGTTTTTAAGATTTATTTATTTATACATACAGAACAGGGGTATAGGCTAGAGGTACAGGGACAGTGAGAGGATTGATCAGAGACAGAGTGGGGAGCAGAAGGCAGATTTACACTGCTGAGGGGAGCAGTGGGCAACGCTGGAGAGGTCTGCTGCATCATGTGGATCATCTCTGGGGCCTGGATTGAACTTGCATTGAAGCAGCTGTGACCAGCTTGCAGCATCGCTTTAACCAGCTGCACCACTAGGGAGGGCCTAGGTCACATAAAGTTTTAACATTTGTCTGTTGAATACAGGTTCCCCATGCCCCAAAGCAGAATGCTCCTTTGGTACAATTTGCTAGATTATTTTGGGATTCTGGGAATTTTATTACCATTGATTTATAGAAAAAAAAAATTGAGCATTCCCAGATGTCTGGACAAAGAACAGAATTATTTTTGATAAAACATTTAGTGATTCAAGATAAAATCTTTTTAACTGTGTTCACCTATGTTTTGGTTTGTTAGAAAGTATAAAAATATAGCTAGTATATGAAATCAGCCTGCTATCATGGAGAATCTCACTTAGAAGTACTTCAAAGGTACTTTGCATAAAATACAGGACATTCAAGATTTTTTTTTAACCTGGAAATCTTGATGATCATTTAAGCTGGCAGAAACTTGGGGCTGCTCAGAGTTGGGAGTAAGAGGAGAGAGGTATTAAAACAATAATTGCACCTGTACCTTTAAAAGCAGCTAAGTGCTAAGAGGAAGCAAGAGGGACAGGAGATTAGAGCCATAAAAGTGGCCTGAAGCAAAAGGAAATAAGAAATTATGAAAATAGAGACTATGAAAATTAAATCAGTAATAAATTTAGTTTAAAATGAGTTGTCCCCATTCTTTTGAGATCGCGATCTTTGCAGAGGTATTTTAGGGTTTGTCAGTAAAAAGTAATGTCAATCAAAGGATGGGCTATTTTTCTAGGTAAACATTTAATAATTTCTTATAATCCTTAACTTTGGCAAGAAAGCTATATTATTCAGCTCCTACAAGGACAGAGACAAGACAAAATGTAGGGTAAAGAAATTGGGGGTTCCACGTTCAAAGTTTTTCTGATTCCTTTCATTTTTTCCCCTTATCATTTTATTGAGGTATATTGTTTATATCAGAGAATTCACCCAATAAATGATGATTTTTAGCAAACTTGTGAAGTTGTTTAGCAATCACCACAAATTAGTTTTAGGACACTTTCATTTCTCCACCTCCATCTCCATTGAAATCCACTATACCCATTTCTAGTGAAATCATTACCCTATCTCCAGTTCTTGTCCCAACCACTGAAATACATTTGTCTCTGTTGGGAGTGACCAAAGATTTACTGACAAGGACTGAATTAGGGCAGTAAAGAATTGGGCCTTGCATCCAAGCTTGATAAAGTGGTAGTAAACTGACCTTGAGATCCTGGATGGGACTAGCTGAAGGTGACAGCAAACTGGGCCTCACATCAAGGACACAACCATGAGTCACCCCCTTTGGAATCTGAATTTAGAATTTATATAAGAGACCCTTCCAGGGCCCTCCCTGGTGGCGCAGCGGGTTAAAGCACAGCACTAAGAAGCTTAAGCCAATTCCACATGAGTTCAATCCCCGCCTGCTCCGGAGGAGATCCACATGGCGTGGCAGACCTCTCCTGACCCACCTGCTGCTCCCCTCAGCAGTGTACTTCATCCATCTGCCTGTTCTGCTCCCCACTCTGTTCCTGGTGAATCCTCTCACCCTCCGCATCTCTGGCCTGTACCCCAGCTCTGTATGAATAAATAAATAAATCTTTAAAAAAAAAAAAAAAAGACCCTTCTCCCCTATAGAGCTGGCAGTAGCTGTGAACCCCACCCTAGGGGCTCCGTCTCAGCTGCTGTCCCAGAGCAATAAACTGCTTGCTCAGCCTTTCTGCCTCCCACCTTCCTTTCTTGCTGCCACTCACAGATGTTGGGATAAAACAGTCTCTATTAAATTTATCTTTTCCGCACATTTCATACAAATGGAATCATGTAATATATGGTCTCTATATATCTGGGCTGTTTCATTGAAAATAATGTTTTGGAGGTTTGTTCATATAGTCTATAGTTTGCTCCTTTTCATTGCTGAATACAGCACATTTTGTCTATCCATTGATGAGTTGATGACTATTGAAGGTGTTTCCAGTTTGGGACTGTTATGAGCAATGCTCAAAGAGTATTCATATGTAAGTCTTTTTTGTGACCATATGTTTGCATTTTCCTGGGGTGTATAGCTAAGATTTAAATTACTAGGTCATATGGTAAATTTATCTTCACCTTTTCAAGAAGCAGCAAAACAAATGTGGTTGTACCAAAAACATATATAGGTTCCTGTTTCTCCACATCTTCCTAGCCTTGCTTCTTAGCTGCACCCCCTTGGGCAAACTTTAGTTTCCTCTTTAAAAAAGTGGCTGAAGTGGGAATTAACACTTAACAAATGTGTATTTTACGTTAGACATTGTGGTAGGAATGAACCTCATGTTCTTTGTCTCACTTTATTGTATCCCCATGAATTGTAGGTATAAATCTGATGGAGTTACTGAAGTTTAGAGGAGTTAGATAAATTAGTCATATTCTAATACATTAGAACACTACATTATTTCAAATAACACAGATAAACATGCCCAGCATAATGTTGGGTATACAGAAGGTGGCTAGTGAAGAGGCTTTCATTCACTGCTTCTTCCCATTAGTCACTTTTCAAATAGGTTTGACCTTAGATGTCATTTCTTTTCTGTTGATAGTAGCCTGTTAAAAAAACTGTCTCACTGTGGACAAACTGAAAGCCCTTGTAGAATTTACCCTGCAGTCACAACTGCCTCCTGGCAGAGTCTGAGAGCCCTGCTAACCCACATAGCATAATCTTTGTACAAAAAATAAATGAATAAATAAACAAACTAGTTCTGGTTGGGACTGCATCTTTTAATGGTTGATTTTTTATGTCTCTTTTTTATTCCTCTATTCACAACAGCAGCAATTACTTCTCCAAATTTGGAAGGAGAGTATAGTACAAGGTCACCAAGAAGTTAATTGACTTGATTCCATTGAAATGGACCTGTATCAGATGACTTAAAGATTGTATAGCAGGCAATAGGAAAAAAAAAAAAAAAAAGGAAACGAAGATAAGACATAGTATCAAGGGTAGGAAAGTGAAGTGCAAGAAAAGGGCTCAACTAATCTTCATTAAATTCAAGGGTTTTCGATTTTTTAGAAGTATTTTTAAAGTATAATCTAATATGATGCCTTCTAAAACTTAAAGTTTGCTGGTGGTTTGTTTAACCATTATTATCTTGTCATTTGTTATCCTGTTTCAGGGAGAGCCTGGTGTAAGAGGCCCTCCAGGCCCCTCTGGGCCTCGGGGCATAGGAACCCAGGGACCAAAGGTGAGTTCTCAGGTTGGTTCTTTGCATGAAAATCAAGTGCTATCATTGAGGACAAATTGAACCTTAACTTCATAGGCAGTGTTGCTAGACAAATAGTCCTTTACTTTGTTCAAAAAGGTGAAGCAGTGAGCAGATTCATAGGGAAAACAGGTTTCAATAAGTCACCCACACAAATTCAGTATTCAAATACTTGTATTTTATGCTCAGAATGCAGAGAAATTAATTAGAACCTCACTATCAGAGAGGGAAGAGGAAAATCTTGAGTCAAAGATTTTACTGAGGTTCCCAGACTAACAAAGATTATAGTTTAGCCTTTTTGTTTTCTCCCTCAAATCGCTACATTATGTAAAAGGCAATTTCTTAAACTTATATATTACTTTGTATGGATATTAGTAGTTGTTATCACAATAGGATAACAGCTACTAATATCCATACAAAAATAGTCCCTCTTTATTATTACTTTATTTTCATAATGCTCAATCATAAAAAAAATTTTTTTTCTATATTGGAAAGAAAAATACTAATTTATTCAATTACAAATTAATAAGCATTTCTAAAAGCTGTTTTTTCTTCTTTGTTTACTTTTTATTTAAATTTTTTTCTGCAATGCTCAATATGAAAATTCCTTTTTCATATTGGAAAGAAAGGGCTAACTAACTTATTCAATCACTTATCTTAATGCTAATTTCTAAATGCTAATTGTATGAAATGTGAATTTGAGAATTTCTGGGATGAACTAATATGAAAAAAAGCTAAAGAAATCTCTTTATTGTGGGACTTCTTAAAGACTTTAATATACTAATGTTCCCAAGGGATCTCCCAGGAGAGGCATATACTGTGGTAAAGAACATTTTCCAATCTTATCTGACTACAGAAGTTGCTCCTCAAAAAAGTGGAATCAGCTTATGATGTAAAGAATATATATTGGGGAAGGATGTACTTATTACTTCACATTTTTTTTTTTTGAAAACTTAAAACATAGCCAAATCAATATTCATTGACTTTAAATAAACTCCATATTAAGATGGAGCAATGTTTAAAGTTACAAAGAATCATGTGCAAGTACTCTTTACACCTCTGGTGTTTTAAGGTGTAGTGGGAGGGCCCCTAGAGAAGCATAAGCAAGCAGTTGAGTCTCCCAAACCAACACTGGCATTGAGACCAAGCACCTCTGCTTTACCTCTTTATTTACTTATTTTTCTAGAATATCATGCTTTTAAAAAATATATATATTTATTTATGCATACAGAACTGGGGTATAGGCCAGAGGTGCAGGAGTCGTGAGAGGATTCACCAGAGACAGAGTAGGGGACAGAACAGGACGACTGATGACTGCTGAGGGGAGCAGAGGGCAGGTCAGGAGAGGTCTGCTGTGCCATGTGGGTCACCTCCCTGGCTGAGGATAGAACTAATGCTGAAGTGGCTGTGGCTAGCTTCATAGTGCAGCACAGATCATATGTAAGATTTTCAAGGGATTCTTGAAATTAGAATTAAAATGTTTGGAAAACCATTGCTTTATATAAAATGTTATATAGCTTGTGGGCAACATGACTAAAAGCAAAAATGAAGCTGAGAGCAATACTACATTTTTTCTTCCTCAAGCTTCTGTTTTCATTTCTCTCCATCTTCCAACAGGGTGATATTGGGCAGAAAGGATTGCCTGGTCCCCCAGGCCCCCCTGGATATGGATTGCAAGGAATTAAAGTAAGTGAACCTGACAGTCATCTCTCAGTTCACTATGGCAATGGGAAGAGAGATTGTAGATGACAGAAAGATGATTATGGAATGGATTTAATTCCTTAATCAAAGCTTGCTAGTTATGTAAATAGTAGTTATCTACTATTTAGAGACATCATCCAAGGGTATAAAAATGGTGTAAGTATATTAGTTTCAAGAACACTAAATGTTACATAAGTTTCTTGGTGAAGTTTCTTGGTAATGGTTACAGAGATTTATTGTTCTTGTTAATTTCTGAACTGAATGCATGTATGCCCAGATACATGCTCTCTTGCTCATCTTCACTTTCCTCACCCTGTATCTCCTCTTTGCAATTAATAGCTGCCAATCTTCAAGGCTCACAGTGGAATAGCTGGGATACTGCCTGATGAACTCAAGTCTCATGATGATCAAATCTCAGTTTTTTTTTTTTTTAAAGATGTATTTATTTGTACATACAGAACTGGGGTACAGGCCAGAGGCTC